CAAACACCACAGCAATAAACAAACAAAACCACAACCCCGGGCCCGCCCAGCCCCCCAGCCACCGCCTTCCCACTCCTCCAGGCACAGAGGCGGAGCAGGCCAGAGGGAACCCAACATCTGTGCAGGTGAGCGGTACGGTGCAGGGGCCGTGGGGCGCCCGACTGGGCCACCGGAGCTGGGGATACAACATCAGTAGGAACCAAAACCCCAAACCAAACTCTCTGCCACCAATTCCAACTCATGGCAGCCCCATGTACAGAGTAAAACTGCACCACAGGGTTCTCTTGGCTGTGATCATTACAGAAACAGATTGCCAGGTCTTTCTTCTGCGGCTGCTGGCTGAGTCCTAACTGTAGATCTTTAGGTTAGTAATCAAGCACAAACCATTTGGGCACCCAGGGACCGAGTCAGTGGGCACAAAACCAAAAGAAACCCATTGCCTTCCAGTCGATTCCGACTCACAGCGACCCTGTAGGACAGAGTAGAACTGCCCTATAGGGTTTCCAAGGCTGTCATCTTTACAGAAGCAGTCTGCCACATCTTTCTCCCACGGAGCAGCTGGTGAGTTCGAACCGCTGACCTTTAGGCTTGCAGCTGGGAGCTTACCCACTGCACCACCAGAGCTCCTTTTCAGTGGGCACAGACCCTCCTTAAAGAGCCAACAGCCTTCCTCAGAGACACGTCATCCTGTGCCGACAGGTTATGTTCAGGCCTCACACCTAAGGGAGGCGTGGGGAGGGTGGAGATCATCGTGTCCATGGTCCTAACCCCACACCTGGTGTAGGTTCTGCCGCCTGGGGGCAGGTAAATGACAGAATGAGCAAGTTAGAGACCGGGACAGAGCCAGCTGCTGGTGCTGGGCTCTGCCGCAGGACAAACAGGCACCAGGACAGGCGTCCAGCGTTGTGTGAGGCTGAGCAAGGGCTGAGGCCCAGGGTGTCAGCAAGGGGAGGAGGTCTGGACAGAGGTGGGCAGGGTGAGGGGCACCTGGCCTGTCCAGGAAGGGCAGCCTGGAGCCCGAGGGGACTGAGAGGAACTGGAGGGCCCTGGGCCTGCACTCTGAGGACTCTCACGGGGAGGACGTGGGGCAATAGCTCAAGCGCAGGATGATGGGGCGGGTGGACAGCAGGGTGGAAGGAAGAGCGGGGAGGCTCCCAGAGGATGTGGAATGGCCCCACCTGGTGGGTGATGGGGGAGGGGACGGTGACCAGTGCGACATCCAGGCTCCTGGCTGGGGAGATGGCTGGAACCTTCATGAGGAAGGAGCAGGAGACAGAGGACAGGCAAGTTTGGCGGGAAGATGGGCCCCTTTTGGGGGTTTGGCTCTGAGCAGCCTGGAGGACACCAAGGTCCTGAGATGAGGTGGGGTACCTCGGTGTCCTCAAAGGCCTGGGAGGGTTTGCAGCCCAGAGAGGACGGGTGTCAGGACAGCATGTTGGAATGACATATGGCTGACGAGGAGCCAGGGAGGAGAGGGAGAGACCGGGGAAGTGCCAGCCAGCACATGAAAAAATGCTCAAGTCATCAGCCATTAGGGAGGTGCAAATCAAAACCACAGTGAAGCTCCACCTCACCCCCGTTAGAGTGGCAGCCAACAAAAAATCTGAAAACAACATGTTCGCAAGGTTGTGGAGAAACTGAAACCCTCATCCGTGGCTGGTGGGGATGTAAAATGGTGCCGCCACTGTGGGGACAGTTTGGTGGTTCCTCAAAAAGCTGAACAGGGAGTTGGTTCTAACTCACAGCCTTCCTGCGCAGAACAGAACAAAACGCTGCCCAGCCCTGCGCCGTCTGGAGCCACCATGTGACCCAGCAATCCCAGTCCTAGGTACATACCCAGAAGAAGTGAAAGCAGGAACACAGACAGAAACCTGTACGCCCATGTTCATTGCAGCACTTCAGTCAAAAGGTGGAAACAACCGAAATGCCCATCAACAGATCAATGGATACACAAAATGTGGTCCATCCAGACAATGGAATCCTACTCAGCTACAAAGAGAAATGAAGTCTGGGTGCACGCTACAACGTGGATGAACCTGGAAAACACCATGCTGAGCGAAATAAGTGTTTTTTGTCTTAAAAGGACAAACACTGTATGATCTTACTCATATGAGATAAGCAAATATACAGAAGCCAAAGATTCTTCCTAGTTACCAGGGGTTGGAGGGAGAGGGAAAGGTAGTTTTCGCTTAGGGGGCAGTGACTTTATGTTAATGGTGGTGGGGTGATTTGGAAAACTTGAAGAATGTAATCGATGTTACTGAATTGTACATGTAGAAACTGTTCTAAAAAATTGACCATATACGTGGAAAAAAAACAAAGGCAAGAATGGGGAAGTGGTCAACACTAAGGAACAGGTCAAGCCGAGAAGGATGAGCATATGACTGATTCAGCGATGGCGTCATCGTGACCTTGGCCAACGCCGTGACCGGATTTCTTGGGCGGGGTCGGCTGCTACGTCTGAGCCCCGCCATGGCCCACTGCCGAAGGGGGTGTAGTGGGGTGCCAACCACATTGGTGCATCTGCAGCAAGGTGGGCAGAGCATGACGGGCCAGGGGGTGGGCAGAGCCATATTTGCAGTGGGGGGGAAGCCTTGCCAAGGGTTTGGGTGTACCCCATGCGGAGTGGAGCCCTGGAAAGACTAAACAGAGGGGCTTGATGGGTTTGTACTTTCAGATCTGCAGACTGGAGGGTGTGATAAGTGAGGCAGAAAGGAATTGGAAGGGGGTTTGGAGGGGCTGGAGGTAATGGTGGTAAGGCTGGAGAGAAGAGACGGTCTTGGTGGCCGTGTCGGTCAGGGAGACCAACTGCTATAACAAGCAGCCACAGCTGAGAGACTCAGCACCTGCAAAGCTTACTTCTCTCTCTCATCTCAGCCCAGTTGTCCTGCGACCCCAGGCTCCTCCTGTCCAGTGGCTCCATCCTTCTCGAGGACCTCAGTGTCCTGATCACTCCTCTGTATCCAGCTGGCAAGTGAGCATGGGAGGGCGTTTGCCCCAGCATCCCAGCCAAAGCCCTGAGAGCTATAAGCCTTGTAACCACCCTCCTCCCAGCTTGCCAGCTTGATCCATCCATCTGTTCATCTATCCATTCATCCATACGCCTTATCCACACTCATTCACCCACCCACTCACCCATCCATATATATATATATACACATACACACACACACCCATCTACCCACTCATCACATTCCCACCTATCTGTCTATCCATCTATCAGTCCACCCACTCACCCACACACCCACCCATTCACCCATCCATTCATCCACACACACACACACACACCCAGCTACACACTCATCCACATACCCACCCACTCACCTATCCAGACACCCATCCATTCACCCATTCATTCATCCATCCATACACTCCCCCCACACACATCTACCCACTCACTCCATTCCCACCCATTCACCTATCCATCCGTCCTTCCATCTAGCTATCCATCCACCTACACATCCACACATTCACCCACATACCCATCCTTCCTTCTATCCTTCCATCCATCCATCCATCCATACATCCATCCATCCACCCATTTATCCATCCTTCCTTCCATCTATCCATCCATCCATCCGCCCATTTATCCATCCTTCCTTCCATCTATCCATCCAGCCAGCCAGCCAGCCAGCCAGCCATTCGTCATCCATACATCCATCCATTCTCCCATTTATCCATCATCCATCCATCCATCCACCCACCCACCCATCCATCCACCCAACCCCCACCCATCCATCCATCTGTCCATCCATTGAACATGAAGGATGGCACGGGGGAATTTTCAGGGCCAGGCCTGAGCACGCTCCATTGAGCACTCACCCTCATAGCTTCCCCTGTCTGCAAGGTGTGTGACCAACAGCGAAAGGGAAGCAGTGTTGTAGGGAACCAGCACTTCCTGCCACAGTGACCTGCAAGAGGTAGGGTGAGGGAGAGAGAAGTAGGGGCACCAGGATACACAGGGGGTCTGGGTAGGCTGCCAACAGCAAGTATGGGAATGAATCAACAGACGTGATTCAAACGTGGGTGCAGTGCTCTGCAGGAGCTCATGGGAAACCCAAGTGGGGCGCCAGCGGCGGTTGCAGGAACCTGCACTGAGCTCAGGGGTAGACAGTGTCCCTAGATGGGACTTCTCCCTCTTGCCTCCTCCCGAGCTTCCTGTGGGTATGTCACTTCCGGGGTGCACCCACGTGACTTCTGGGTTCCACAGTGGAGTTATGCAGCCCCCATCAGGCGAGTTGATGTGGCTCTTTCCCTCCCCCACAGACAGGCTGGCAAGCTGGGAGAAGGGTCACAGAGCCTGATCTGGGCAAGCGGGTGGAGGAGAAGACCAAGGGTGGAGCTGGGGCAAGAGGGACAGGGCTGTGTGCAAAGAAGCTGAGAGGGAAGTTCCAGAAGTTGGGGGGACAATGGGCTCTGGTACATGTGTGAGGAGGCTGAGAGGGCGGTGTGCAGAGGTTTGGGGGGGGATGGGGACAGGGATGCGTGCAAGGAAGCTGAGAGGGCAGTGTGTAGAAGTTGGGGGGTGGGCAATGGGGACAGGGACGTGTGCAAGGAAGCTGAGAGGGCGGGGGCAGGGGGGCTTTGCTCTGTGAGACTGTGACTCAGAGGCTGACCTCAATGATTTGCAGGTGGAGTACTCAGGGGGTGAAGAAGCCCTGGGTGATGAGGCAGGGCTGTGGGGAGAAGCTGTCTGGAGGGTCTCCCCTGGGTAGGACCTTTGAATCAGGGCAGGGCATTGGTGATGAGAGGAACTGATCTGGAGGCAAGAAAAGGGACAGGCTGGTGTGGTTCTCCAGGGGGCCAGCCCTTCCAGGAGGGCAGCGGGTCATGGCAGGAGGTGGCTGGGAGGGGAGGGCTGCCGGCTGCTGTATCAATCCTGCAGGCTGTGCCACCGACACCCAGGGGGTGCTGTCTGTGTGCACCCTGCAGACTCACATTCCCATTCAATAGGTAGCTATCAAGGTCCCAGGATAAGCCATTCCCCTCCGACCCCCACATTGGTGATGTGGCAGCAAGTGGCACAAAGCCCCTCCCTTCCTAGAATTGACCTATGGTGGGGGGGGATGGCAGACAGTAAATAAATCAAAAGTCATGATCCAGAAAATCATGGGGAGACGTGACAGACCACAGGGGTGAGGGAGGCCGTGGCCCAGGGCGCATGGAGGGCTTCCTGGAGGAGGGAGGCGATGGCCTAGGGCGCACGGAGGGCTTCCTGGAGGAGGGAAGCAATGGCCTAGGGCACACGGAGGGCTTCCTGGAGGAGGGACACGTGGGAACCTGAGGGGTGAGGAGGAGAAGCCACAGAAAAGCCCGGAAGTCTCTCCCAGGCGAGGTACTGAGGCCTAGCCATCCTGGGATCTGAAGAACACAGGGTGACTGGGGAGCCTGGCTGCCGGAGGTGCCCCTGAGGGGCTGGGGGAGGCCAGGTGGACTCCAGGGTGGTGGGGATGGGCGGTGCTGGCCAGGCAGGTGTGAGACTCCTCCATCCTCACCTGTCCGTCCTCAGACAGGTGCTCCCATTACCACGCCCATTGGGTAGTTTGGTAAACTGAGGACCAGCAGTCCATCAGGTAGAGCAAGGATTTATCCACAGAGGCCAGCGCTAACCACTGGGATCCGTAGCTGCCAGGTCCAAGCCGGAGACATGGGAGCGAGTGTGTGGATGTGTGTGAGTGCGTGTGAATGTATATATGTGAGTATAAGTGCGAGCATATGCTGAATGTATGTATAAGTGTGTGTGTGGATGTGTGTATAAGTGTGTGAGTATATGGTAAATGTGTACAGAGGTGTGTATGAGCATGCCTGTGTGGGAGTATATGGTGAATATACGCAGAAATGCGTAAGTGTGTGTGAGTGTGTCAAGGAGAGGGACAGTGGGTGACAGGATGAGGCTGACGAGGAGCAGATGGCACAGCTTTCCAGGGTTACAGAAGCCGGCTCCAGGGCGGCAGGCGTGTCTGGGCCCCGACAGAGCAGGCGCTGAGGGACAGCAAGGGACTGGGCCAACAGGTCTGGGAGACCTGGCACTCCCCGTGTCCTGGATCTTTGGGGAGGGGGCCCTGGAAGTAGACAGTCATGGAGGCACTCTGTCCCCTCTCTGCCCCACAGGGCCTTCTCCAATGCCTGCCAGTCCCCATGACCCCACTCCTGGAAGTCCCCTCAGTCATGTCTCACAGTACCAGGGAAGCTCCAAGGGCCCCCCGTCACAGTGCAGCACAGCTCCCATCTGGCCCCCGAGGGGAGCACTGGTCCCCCGCTGCCTGCTCCCGCCTTGGCCTGCTGTTTGCCTCGGGGCTTCTTGACCCATCCTACTGTCAGCCCCGGCTTCGGACCAGCTGCCCCAGAACACCTTCCCCGCTCCCGGGGGTGGGTACAGAGCCTTCCTCTGGGTCTTCCCTGCACCCCGGCTGCCCGGCCCCCTCACCACCCCCTCAGGTGCACTCTCCCTCGCCCTCCTGTCTCCCTGCGGGCAGCTGCTTTCGCTTTTGTTCAGTCTCGTCCACTACAAATGGGTTTGTGTGTTTTTTTTCCATCCATTTTTTATTGTTGCTTAAAACTTTTATTGTTTTAGGTTAAGAAGTTTTACTTTTTGGAAAATTATTTCAAACTTCCAGAAAGTTGCAAGAATAAAAATAGTACAAAACACCTGTCTAGCTTTACTCAGTACTACCTCATGTCCCAGTGCTTTACTCAGTACTCCCTCATGTCCCAGTGCTTTACTCAGTACTACCTCATGTCCCAGTGTTGATGTTTCAGCCGTTGACTTTATAATTTGCTCTCTCTCTCCCTCTCTCTCTGTTTACCTATCTGTCCATCTGTCTATACCTGTCTATCTACCTATCTACCTGTTTCTCTTTCTCTCTGCCTCTTGCTCTCCCTCCCCTCCTCCCTCTCTTCCATTTGAAATAAGATACATCACCATGGCCTTTTGGTTCTCAAGGCTTCTTGGTGTTCCCTAAAAATAGTGATGGTCTCTTACATAAGACAGAGCAGTTATCAGTGTCAGCAGAGCTAACGTTGAAGCATTGCTTTTATCTAATCTACTGGCCCACGTCCTTGGGATGTTCTCCTATCTCTTTGTTGTTTGGAGCACGTCCTTTCTCTCTGGCATAACAAGTCATTCCATCTTGTCCACTGCGTGTCCTGCCTGGGAACGGCCACGTCTCTGAGGGCCCGGGTTCTTCTTGGCAGAGAATGGCAGTTGAGACCACTGGGCGCTGTGGGCTGACTGCTCCTGGGGGGTCGTGGCTTCTCGGCCCTTCGGTGGACCCTCTGAGGATGTGGATGCACATATGTAGCCGTGCACACACGCAAACATGCAAAGGTACATATGCACATGCATTGGCCATGAGCTGGCCTTGCCTTGCTCTCCAGCAGCTAAAACCTTCAGGGCTGTCTTCCATGGCTCCTCCACTTCCTTGTCCCTCTGCTCAGGCCCCAACCCACCGCACACTACAACCCCAGGCAAGGTTGCTGGCGACTTCTCGTGGCCATGTGTCTCTCTCTGACCCCAGCATCGTCCACGGTGCCAGCCACTTCCTTGCAGCTCTCTGCTCTCTTCCTCCAGCACCACCTCTTTGGGGGTCCCCAGCCCAGGCTGCTGTTCAGGCCCTGGGTGTGGCCCCTTCTCCTCCCCTCTCCTCTCACTGCCCCTGATCACTCACTCCCCAGGATGCCCAGACCCTCTGCCGGCCTCCAGACAGTGCACTCTGAGCCTTTCTGGCCTCCCCCTCGAAACTTCCACGGGTCCCTCAGATCCTAGCCTGAGCCTGCTCCCCCTCACCTCTCAACCTGCTTTTTCACTAGACCCCTAACCTGCAGAATGGTCCCCCACCACCTGCCTGTCCCACCTCAGCATTTTCCTGGACTCCCCTGTCAACCTCAGCCCCCCAAGTCCAGTGGATTGTGCCTCTTAAACATCCCTCCCATGAACCTGCCCCCCCAGGAGACAACCAAAGCTTCCATCTCATCTCCTACCTCTAGTCTGGCTTCCTTACTTCCTATTCTCCATCCCTCAGAGATCTTTCTAGAATGTGGATCTGGTGAGGACAGGAAGCATTCCTGAGCCCTCGCCACCTGTCAGCTGCTGGGCTCCGGGCTACACAGGTGCCACCCTGCTCAGCCCTCACTGCGGCTGTGGGGTACAGGACCCCACCCCAGGAGTCCCGCTCCCCACTGCCAGGGCTCATGCCAGAAAGAGGCAGACGTGGGGTCCTGGGGGCCGTGGCCCCAGGGTGGTGGAAGCTTTGATGCTTGTTTGTTATGTTGCATGGTCCTCTTTGACCATTTATTCACTGACCCCAAAGTAGTGGTGGTTTTAACACTCATTTATTTTTTTTAATAGACTTTATTTTTTACAGCACTTACAGATTTTCAGAAAAATTGCACTGAGAGTTCCCATACACCCTCTGCCTCCCTGCACAGGCTTCTCCTATTATTAACATCTTGTGTTTCTGTGGTACATTGTTACAATGGATGAACCAATATCGACACATTATTACTAACTCAAGTCCACCCTTGGCCACGAGGCTCACTGTGTTGCACAGTCCCATGGGTTTTAAGAAATGCCCATGTCATGTGTCGACCATGTTACTGTCATACAGCACACTGTCACTGCCCTCCAATCCCTCATGCTCTACTTCCGCATCCCCCTCTCGCTGAGCCCCTGGCACCCCCTGATCTTTTCACTGGCTCTGTAGCCTTGCCTTTCCCAGAATGTTGGAATCATACAGCACGTACTTTTTTCAGGCCAGCTTCTTTTGTTGATTTCATTTGGCTTTTTGTTGTTATTTGTTTGTTATTGCACAGTCCTCTTTGACTGAATTCATTCATTCATTCACTGACTGTAGAGTGGCAGTGATTTTGATGTTTTATTTATTTGCATGCTCTTCTTTGACTTCATTCATTCATTCATAGATGGACATCACAAACACTGTAAATCCATGACCTAACCCAAGAATGACAACATTGCCCAAACCTACATCCACTTCGCTGCTTCCACCCCATTCTGGCCCCATCCCAGGTAATCGCTTTCTGGGGTTTCATATATGAGATGTCCTTCCCTTTGTGTTAATGGTGTTCTCACACTGTGAGTCTTCCTAGCCCAGTGGGCTGAGCCCCCTCTTGGGGCCGGCTCCTGGCACCCCTGCCTCTCTGTGCTTCCTAGCCCTGGTCTCCTCTGCCCTTTCCAGTGGTCATGCTCCGATTCCCTTTGCAGGGTTACCCCCTGTCCCCCGCCCCACTGAAATCCCCTCCTAAGTTCCCCGCTTACCCTGGGGCTCTTGGCTCCACAGGCTGCTGCCTTCGCTGAGAACATTCCACAGCCCCTGACACCCCACCTTCTCTGACCCTTGCCCTCCTCCTTCGGACCTCACTGTCCATGGGCACACCCCAGGCCGGCCAAGGCCCTGCTTCCATGCCCTACAGGCACCTAAAGTGTATACCTTGTCTTGGCCTGAGTCCCCCCACAGCACCGCAGCCCAGCTAAGCTCCCCTGTTTCAGTGGTGAGGGAGTGGCTCACCCCTCAACTCTGCCTTAGACGGAGCCTGGCCTTCCCCAGAGGAGCCGAGGGGTGGCCGAGACACCAGACAGCAGATCTGAGTGGGGGGCTCACAGCTGGGGCACAAGCTGCAGGGTCCCCGAGATGGAGGGCCCAGCAGGAGAGTGTTCAGAGAAGCCAAGGCTAAACCCCACGGCTGTGGGGGTGGGGGGCCGGAACACCGCCAAGGCCGTCTGACGTCTGTCCTGCGTGGCAGCCCCAAGGCTGGGCCACAGCTGCCCTTCCTGCCTCCGGCAGATCAATCGCTGGGCCCAGCGGGGGCAAGGGCAGGGCAGCTGGGCCGACAGCCGCTCCATCATGGGGCCCGCGGGGCCCAGCTGCCCCAGAGATCTGAGCCGGGGACCTTGGCAAGTGTACTCCATCTCTGGCCCCGAGAAGGGGGCTCACAGCGGGGCCTGGCCAAGGAGACTCTTGTCTGGGCCTGTTGGGGGCAGTGCTGAGCAGAAACCAGACACAAGCCTCCCACCGTGGGGCCTGGGTGCCGGAGCCACCTTTGGCTTGTCGTCAGTCCCCGGGCCCTGAAGTACAGACCCCAGCCCCGGTGTGCCCTGCCCCAGGTGCCCCAGCCCAGATGGAGGCTGACGAATGCAGGACTTCCCTGTGTGCCCCCTGTGGAAGCTCTGGGGTCTAAGGTCTCTCCTGTGCCCTGACCAGCCCAGGCCTCGGTTTCCCATGTATTGCTTGGATGGGGTGCTGCCTGCCTTGCAGGGTGGCAGAAAGGATCAGAAACCCCAGCCAGGGGGCCACTGGCCTGGCCTGCTCAGGCCCCACGAAGTGGGCTCGGTGCCTGTCCCCTCACCCCATGTTGGGCTTCAGTGCCTAGGCCAGGGGGTAGACACAGGAACTTGGCAGGACCAGGGGCTGGGGTGCAGAAAGTTCAGCCCAAGGTGGCTGGGGGGGGCGGGGGGGTTGGCGAGGAGAGGGAGTGGGTGTGTGGGCACACTTGGGGCAGCAGCCAGGGGTCCGCGGTTCCCGGGGAAGGGGCAGCCTGGGGGTGGGGATCTGCCCTGCCCGCATAGCAGTGTGGGGGTGTGCTTGCCCGTCTCCTCCTGGACTGACCGTCCTCGAGGCTGGAGTCGGACACAGCGTGTCCCGGGAGCCCTGAACAGGGCCGGTGCCTCTCTCCCAGGCCCTACACGTGTCATGAGTGCCCAGGACTCATCCCTGGAGCCAGCCAGCAGCAGGGTGGGCTCCATCAGCCATACAGGCCTTCCTGCAACATCCCAGGCCTGCAACTCTCCTGCAGCCCTGATCACACCGTCACAGAAAGTAGCACCCAGGAGGTGACAGCCCAACCCACCAGGTGGGCAGTAGATAAGTGCACACTGCAGGAGGTGGCCAGCGGCCTGGGGACAGTGACTCAGGGCAGTGCCAGACCAGACGAGACCCGTCCTGGGGACGAGCAGCCTTTATTGACCAGTGAGAGGGGCCCAGCCAGACCAGGCTCTGTGGGTGGCCCCTGCCAGGCGGCCGGCCTAGGACTCGGACTCGAACATCTTCTTCCGGCCCTCCATGCCCGACTTCTCCTCAATGTTCTTCCGCCAGTCACCCACGTCACGCAGGTCCCGCTCCTGGATCAGGGAACGGGCTCAGATCCACCAGCGCGGGGCCCAGACCCAGGAAGGTGGATGGTGGGTCTCCCGTCCCCGCTCCCAGGGCGGGTGAGGATGCAGTAGTGCCGGGCACCCGGGGAGGGGTGAGGGCGTACCTTTTCTGTGTCCTCCTTCTTCACCTGCTTCAGGTTGGCCCTCAGGTCCATGCACACCTTGTGCTTGGCGCCCAGCAGCGCCTTGAGCATGGCGTCGGCCGACATGCGGACCCGCCGCAGTGGCGGCCGCTTGAACTTGCCCCTCAGGTCGAACAGCTTCTGGTTCATGTCCTCCAGCTGCAGAGGGGGGTTCGGTGAGCACCCAAGGGGGCGCTCAGCACCCCCTGGCCCCCCCAGCCTCTCCCCTCCTGCCCGGGTCTGCCCCCCACGGCCCCTCACCTCCTTGCTGCTCTTCTGCACCTTCATCTCCATGTCGTACTTGTCCTCCTCGGCGGCGTCCACCTTGGCGTGAAGCTGCTTACAGAGCTCCTGGGGGTGGGAGGTGCTCTGTGCTCAGGGTCCTGATCCTCCACCACCCCGTCACCCGCTCCCTGCCCCGGCCTCCATCCCCAGACCACCCCTGCTGGGCTCTGCCCTCTGGACACCGGGGAAACTGAGGCAGCAGCCGGGTGGTACCTGCACTTCAGCCATGGAGCCGGGGAGGTACAGGGGAGGGCAGTGATCATTCAGGTACGCCTGCTTCTCTGCCTCACGGCGGCTCTCCTCCTTCTCCAGCTCTGTGGCCGCAATCTGGAGCATGACGCTCTGCCGGCAACAGGCTGGTGAGGGGCTGCGGCTGTCCTCTGCGTGGGCCCCGCCACCCTTCACAGACCCCCAGGGTCCCCCACAGACCCCACTGCCCCCCACAGACCCCGCCACCCTCCGCAGATCCTGGTGCCTCCAAGTGGACCCCCGCTGCCCCCCACAGATCCTGCCACCCTCCACAGACCCCACTGCCCCCGCTCGTACCTTCAGGTGCTGCCTCCGGGCCGTGATAGCCCTGTGTTGTTTCTACAGGGCAGGGGAAAGAGAGCAAGGTGAGGGTGGCCGAGGCCCAGCACCGCCACCCCCCACATCTGCCCTCTGAGCCGGGGGGTTCTGTGCAGGGGAGTGAGGTCCCCCGAAGCTGAGCTCAGGGACATGGTGCTGTGTGGTGACAGCATTGTCCCCAGGGGCCAGTCCAGTTCCTAAAGGCCAGGACAGAGGAGAATTGGCCCAGCAGCAGGGGTGGGGGATCCTGTAGGCCGGGGGGAGGGCAGTCAGAAAGGAGAAGTGATCCCCTCCATGAGACCAGGCCGCAGCTCCACTTCCCCTGCCCATCAGGCACCAGGAGCCACTTCCTCTGTTTCATCAGTGTCTTGGGGGGCTGTGGGGTGGGGCATTCACCGCAGGGGCAGGCGGGCTGGGCGTCTACCCTGGGCTTGAACCTCTGACCTGTCCCCCGTGGAGGTGCATCCCCTCCATGTGTCACCCCCCTAGCAGGTACTCACCTCCTCACTGTCCCAGGAGACGGGGGAGAGAAGAGAGAGGTTAGGGTCATGGTCGTGGCTGGTGGGGTGCAGAGTTGGGGCGGTGGGGAAGGGGCTGGGAAGTGGTGAGGCGGGTGGGGGTCATGTGGGGGAGGGAAGTTCTGGGGGGCATGTGGGGGAGGGCAGGTGGCAGCAGGCTGGGGACACCACTTACTCCCCCATCCTGAAGTCCTGAGCTCAGAGCCTGTGGGAGGGAAAAGACAGGTGTCAGGTCAGCACCCCCTAGAGGCAGTGGGGTGCGGCACCGCGAGCTGCCCTGGCCGCTCCACTCCCCGGACCCTGACCTCCTTGAAGGGAGCTGTTGTCTTGGCATCCCCAGGAAGGGGGGGTTAGAGGAGAGAGTGTCCTAAGTGCCCAGGGAGAGGCCTAGAGGAGCTGCAGCTGTCCCCGGGGGAGGGGGCAGCTCGGCCACGCGGCTATTTTTAACCCTGCTTCTTTGGCTTTGGGCTGAAGTGCGCAAGAACTGTTCCTCTGCTTGGTTTGGGGGTGCAGCTCCTGGGGTCCCTCGACCCATAAAATCTCCCTCCGGTGGATCCAGACGGGAGGCCTGGTCATCGAGGGCTGCCCGAGAACCCCGCCCCATCACAGCCACCTCCCCATGCATCCTTCTTTCTTCGCCCAGCTCCGTGGAGGCCCCCAGGGTGAGCTGCTGGCATCGGTGCCCCTGCCCCCCGGCCCCCGGCCCCCGGCCCCCGGCCCCCGCCCGGGAAGTCCTCCTTCAGGCTGTCTTGAGTGTGTCTGCGGCCCGGCCTCGGCTGCATCAGGGTCTCACCTAGTGTCCGTGTCGTGGCGCAGAGTGGGTCAGCGGTGGCGGGCTGGGCTGGTGGGCCAGGGGAGGGGTATAAATGGTCTCCCCTGGGCTGGGCCCCCGCTCAGTAAGGGCATGGAGCCCTCTCAGACCAATGGGGACCCAGGGAGCCAGCTGGAGGCTCCCCACCTGCCCAGGCCGCCTGGCCCGGCCCAGCCCGACCGCGTGCTGCCGCCCTGTCCAAGAAGTCTTGTTGTGGGGGGTGGAGGCTGTGGTCGGGTAGCTCTATTTAGGGCTCTGTGACGAGTTCAAGAAGCCTTCCCTGTTCTTGCAAGGAGCTTGAGGACAGCCGCACATGGCCTTGCTTGCTGGCGTGTGGGGTGCAGGGCTAGGTGGCCCATCTTGAGCTGGCCACAGCAGGCCCCCATACCTCACCCAGACGGGCCCATTGGGCCTACCCAATGCTCAGCCCAAGCTCTGGGCTCAAGCCCTGCCCCACCCCAGCCCCATGGCCGTTGGCTGGTGCACAGGGTAGCCCCCCTCCAGCTGGAGCTCCCCATCTTGCCCCTGTAACCAGCTAGGCTCTGTTTCAACCACAGGGGGGTGGGTTTCAAGGCCCAGCTGGCCGTCACCCTCCCCTTCTCCAAGCCTAGTCCCCAGGTGAGGCCTGGACCCCCAGATGCAGCTTCCGGGGTCCTGCTGTCTGGGTCGGGGCTGGGGCTGCTGCCCTCAGCACACGAGCCCTCCTTCCCTGCTGGATGTACCGGCCCTGCTCTCAACGCCCTCCCCGGGGGCAGTTCACCTGCTCGGCTAGGAACATGTCCTTCAACCAGCATGGGGCCGCGCCCTGGGAACCTCTCCCTGACCCGCGGGCAGCGCCCCTGGCTGCCTGGGCAGGCCCGGTGCTGCCCTCCTCACCCGGCCCCGGCCTGCACCCCCTCCCAGCCCCGGCCCCCGGCCCGCTGTGACTTGGCACCCTCTTGTGTGGGGGCGCGGGCCCCGCTCTTGGCATGGGGATGATGGAGGAGACAGCGGATGCAGGAGGCTTTGCCGACTAAAACCATCCAGATGTGCAGGATTAGGAGGAGCCCCGGGCCAGGGCTGCGCCCCCAGAGGCCTGGGCAGCTTTCGAAGGTGTCTACTGCCCCCTGCTGTTCACACAGGAAAACTCCACAAGCCCGGCAGCAGGGGTCAAGTCCTGGGGTCTGGGCTGGGGAGGGGTGGCCCTTTGGGTTGGGGGTTCCCCTCCCTCCACTGCTGCCCCCAAAGGCCTCTCAATCGTCCCCATACATGTCCCCAGGGGACCAGCTGCCCCACTTTTCTGGAGGCCGTCCTGACCCCACCCCTCCACCCCCTCTCCATCTCTTCCCGTTTGCCGTGGAGCACCAGCCTGCCTGGAGGCCAGGCTCTGGTCAGACCCTCCCCCTGCCTCTGGAGGGGCTGTGGCGAGGAGGGGGAGGCCAGACTCAGGGCCCAGGAAGGACACGTGGTGGCTGGAGGAGACATTTATTCCAAGGGGTCCTCCTAGGCAGCCTGGACACGTGGCCACGGCTCAGCCTGGAGAAACTGAGGCACAGGGATGCTGTTGCGGCCGGGGCAAGGGCCAGCGCAGGTGGGGCTGTAGGGCCAGGGCCTGGTCCACCTCCCTGGCGGGCTGCAGGTGGTGCCACTGGGCCACGGGCCGCCGGGCGTGGGCCAGCATGTCTGCCCAGTGCTGCAGGAGCTGGCCGGAGGCCCGGGCGCCGAGCAGCACCTTCCCCACGGGCCCGGCCCGGAGCTGTGGGCCTCGGGTCCAGACCGCCAGCACCAGGTCCACACTCTGGCCGGTGGGAGAGAAAGACAGCATCAGTTTGTCCCTGCCCCCGTGAGGCCTGCCTAGCCCCTTCCTCCCAGGGGCCCACCTGGATCTGGCTGAAGGGCACGTGGAAGGTGAAGGCCTCGTTGAAGTAGGGGGTGGCCGTGCCCTTCCTGCTGGATGACCTCTTCCTCTTCCACTTCCTCTGGCGTAGCATGAGCTGGACCTTCACGTAGGACTCTGGGCAGCCCAGAGCGGCCAGAGCAGACCCAAGTCTGAGGCCCAGCACCGAGCACCCAGCCCTCTGTTCACCTTGGGCGGGCAGTCAGCACTCACCTGCCAGCCCCGGGTTCAGGCCTCGGGCCTCCAGCACCACCACAGTCAGCCGGCCGGAACTGGGCACATACCGCAGAGAGAAGCACAGCTCCCCCGCCATCTGCTCGGGCTGGGGCAGAGGAGTGAACCTCAGCCCAGGGTGGGGCCACACCTGCCCGGCCCGCGCAGGATCCCACAGAGGGTCTGCCGGACCCTTGGCCACGCCCCTCAGCCTCTTGTGCCTCAGGCTCCCCACTGGCACCGAGGGTATGGGCCTCTGCCGGCCGGGCCTGCAGCTGGCGGTCAGTGGCCTCACCTGGGCGGTGCCTGGAGGGCCCAGCTGGTGCCAGAGCTCCAGGACGTGCCGCAGGTCCACGGTGCCCAGCGGCAGGTGCAGCTCGCCAAGCGGTGCGTGCTGGGAGAAGCGCCTGAAGTCCAGGACCTGCACGCGCAGGGTGGCCAGAGGCAGCTCTGCTCTCGTGACCTGGGGGGACAGGGGGCTGTGAGCCGGGACCCTGCCATGGGGCCCAGACCTGCTCCGGCTGGCCCAGACCCACCTGGAAGCAGCAGGTCTCCTCAAACAAGGGGCTGAGCGTGCCCCGGTGCACCTTGGTCTCATGCCTGTGCCCGGTCTGCGTGGAGATGCTGATGCAGGCGTAGGGGTCGGCTGTGCCGCCCGGTGTCGGGGCCCTCAGGTCAGAGGCCTGCTTCAGGCCCACCCTGATCTGGGAGGCAGCAGTGTGGGCTCAGCCCAGGTGCCCGCCAGTGGGCCCCAATCATCGAGCACACGACGTTTGACCTTCACCCTGCCCACCTGCCCCACTGAACGGGTGGACCGTCAGGGCCTGGGCAGGGGGCAGCCCCTCACCTCCTCGCTCCCGAAGTCGTACTCCAGGGACAGCAGCAGGCGCCCCCAGTGCTCAGGGCCCCCCGGGCCAAACTCTAGGTTATCCACATCCGGCTGCACCTGGCAGGAGGTGGAGCAGGACGGGGTAACAGGTGCTGCGAAGCCCCGTCTATCAGAGCCCTGGGCATCCCGCCTCCGGGCAGCACCCTCAGGATCTGTCCCACCCGTATCTTCCTCAAGAACCTGCCGTGGCTCCCGGCAGCCCGAGGACCCACTCCTGGGCCAGCATTAAGGCCCTCCGGCCTCAGGTCCCAGCCGCCTCCTCCTTCTGCCTCCCTGTTGTGCTGCCTCCCCCTCCCCCTTGCTCATCTGCTTCCCCTGCCAGGAAGGACCCCCCCGGTCCTGCCTTCTGTGTGCACCTGACCCTCAGTGGGGGCCGGACTCTCCCCCCAGGCTGCCCTGGCCCTCTGAGGGCTCCAGAGGTCCTGGCTGTCCAGGTGGCTCTCTGGGCCCGCCCCGCCTAGAGCTGGGCAAAGGCGGGGGTGGCACCACTCCTCACCAGGTGGACGGCGGTGGTGCCACGGGCGCTGCCCAGGTCCACGGCCTCCGTGTGTCTGGGCTTCTTGCTGCAGTGACGATGGTGGCAGCGGCACCAGATGACACAGAGCAGGCAGACGACAATCAGGACGCCAGCAGCCACTGCAGCGGCAACGAGTGCCCAGCGTGGCCCTGGGGGCACAGACGGGGGTCAGGGGCTGCTCTGGACAGCCACCGCCTCCAAGGCTGGGCTATCCCCTGCCCCTCTCAGGGGTCCCGAAACTCACAGGACTTCCTGGTGACGAGGTCTGGAATGAGCCCAGGCAGAGCTGTGGCGCCAGGTGCAGTCGGGGCATTGCTGGGGTCTGGGGGGCGCACCATCCCCTGGCCCTGCTGGTTTGGAGGACATAGCCAGGCAGAGCAGGTCACCTGGTGGGGTGGCCCCTCGGGCCCCCGCCTGTGGCCCCATTTGCCCAGCAGCAGCTGCCGTACCGCGTCTGCCTGGGCCAGGAGGCAGCCCCGGGTGGCCAGGGGTGCGAGCTCTGAGCAGAAGCCAGTGTGAGGGAGGCTCTGGGCTCTGGCCGAGGCTCGGGTTTAGCTGTCACAGGCCTGGCCTCCTGGCTACCCCACCAGCCCCCAGCCCCAGCCAAGGAGGCCAGGCCTGGCAGCCTGTCTTCACTGGTCCTCAACCACAGAGCCCTCCCCCTTCCTCTGCCCTCCCTGCACCCTTAGCCCTACAGGGCCAGCACCAGGGCCTCCTCCTCCAGGAAGTCCCCCAGCTCTCCCGACTGTCTCCCCTGGCCCCTGTTCAGCCCTCGATGGGGGAGGGGGGGGACATCTCAACCCTGCCTCTGGCCCCTCGGGGTCCGCGTTAGTTTGCAGTTACACAGGCTGAACATGTTTACTGCGGGCCCAGGGCCCAGGGCCCAGGAGAAATTTGGAACCACAGGGAGCAAGGCTCCGAGGGGTCACACGGCGAACGGGGGGCCTGTGGGGCAAAGGAGAGGGGCTGGCAGGGGTGCAAGCCCGTCCCAGCAAGCCTGGGCTACAGGCGCACCCCTGACACGGGTGGGCTCGGGGCCAGCAGCACCCGGGGCTGAGGGCGAGGTGGGGGCAGGTAGGGGCAGGGCGCGGCCAGAACATTCCGGGCAAGCTGACTCAGCCGCCCAGACTCGCCCTCCCGCCTGCTGGGCCACCCTCCGGTGTGTGGGTGGGGAGGGGGAGGGGCGGGCACAGCCTGCCTGGCCCCTGCACCCTCCCTGCCTGGGGCCTGGGGTGGGAGCGCACCTGGCTGGGCTGACTCCTCCCATCCCACCCCACCTCATCATGGAAGCAGGGCTCCAAGCAGGGGCCTGGGGTGCAACAACAGGTCCTCTGTGACCCGGCCCACAGCACCTCTCTCTGGCTCTTCCTCTGCGTCCTCCACCGGCAGGAAGCACGGTCAAGCAGTCACAGCTTGAGGCTGGGCAGCTCCGCCTTTGCCCCACTCTTACTATCTGCAATCCCACCTGTCTCTGGGGCCCAGCTCAGGCGTCTGCCTCCAGGAACCCAGCCACGCAGTCTCAGCAACCCCCACCCCCGCCCCCAGCCGCCTGTGCTGAGCATGGGGAGGGGCAGCACCACTCCCCAAACCCACCCAACTCCTCAAACAGGAAAAGGGTGCTCAGGTCCCAGCAAATCCACAGACCGGGCCTGGAGGTCCTGCCCCCAAGACCCCATCTCTGTCCACCCCTTGGGGGATCCACTTGCACACATGGTCTGCATAGTCAGGATTACGGCCCCCTTTTAAGGATAAGTAAAGTGAGGCTTGGAGTCTCTGTGTGGTATAAACAGTTCACGTGCTTGGCTGCTAACTCAAAGGTTTGAGATTCGAGTTCACCCAGAGGCACCCTTGGAAGAAAGCCTTGGCAATCTGCTTCCAAAAAGCCAGCCGTTGAAAACTTAATGGAGCACAGTTCTACTCTGGCACACAGGTCGTCACGAGTTGGAGTCAACTCAATGGCAACTGTTTTTAAAGTGAGGCTTAGAGCCCCAGTTCTGTGATCCCTGAGGCCGGCCCAGCCCTGGGGTGTTAAATAGGTGCAGAGAAAGGGAATTTGAGGGCAGGGCCGGGCTTCTGGGCGTGTGACCTGAGCCAGGGCCTGCCCTCAGAGGACCCCAAGCTCGGTTTCATCTCTGCTGCTGCTGCTTTGAAATTCTTGGTAAGTTTGGAACAAGGGCCCCACATTTTCGTGCTTGCATTAAACCATAAAACCCATTGCTGTCGAGTCGATTCCGACTCAGTAATCCTATAAGACAGAGTAGAACCGCCCCATAGGGTTTCCAACGAGCAGCTGGTGGATTCAAACTGCTGACCTTTGGGTGAGCAGCCGAGCTCTTAACCACTGCACCACTGGGGCTCCTCATTTTGCATTGGGCCTCGTAAATTCTGGAGCCAGTCCTAGATGGAGGGTAGCCAGCATCGGCCCCGTGGATAAGGCCCCTGTCCACTGCTCTCCCCGCTGACAGTGGGTCCCCTCTAAGCCCTTTCCGGATGCAGGCTCAGCATCCCACAAGGCCCCGGCAGAGCGCCCCTAGTGGCTGCTGGTGAAACCACTGCCAGCTTGAGGGCTTTTGCAGGTGCGAGGGGTCCCCAGAGCAGGATCTAGACGTCTGCAGCCCCCCTCCCTTTCCTGTTCAATTAATTTGTTGCAATTAATTTAGTTTTGAATTTTTGGAATGTCAGACCTTACATGTAGCCTGAAATTAAAATAGCTTCCTTCGAGGTTGTGGTTCAGAATTCGGGCTTGGTTATCAACAGTCTCCGTGTGTGTGCGTGTGTGTGCGTGTGTGTGCGTGCATGAGTGCGCGTGTGTGCGTGCATGCATGCTTGTGTGTGCGTGCATGAGTGCGTGTGTGTGAGTGTGTGTGCGTGCATGAGTGCATGTGTGTGCGTGTGTGTGCGTGCATGCGTGCGTGTGTGTGCGTGCATGAGTGCGTGTGCGTACCTGTACCTGTGCCCTTGGTTGAGTCTAACAACAGACAGGGGTCGGGATAGGAGTGCATTGTCATGGATGGTAATCAGGGCCTCTGGTCCAGCAGGATTCCTGGGCTGGCCAGGTGGATGTTGTCCCACAGGACTGCAGGGGCCACCCGGAAGCCTGACCAGGAGGGCTACGATCTGGGGACACCTGCACCAGTGTAGGATTTGGGGTTCCTGGGGACACACAGGGCCCCTCGGGCCCGCCAGGTCCCCACGGTGGTAAAGGTTCAAGCAGAGAAGCAGCCACCAGGTGGCGCCACCCACTACCTGGAGCCTTCCAGCCCCCAGGCTTCTCGAGAAAGCCCAGGAGCCCAGGCAGGACTGAGAGCCCTCAGCCACTGCTCCCAGGCCCCGGGAGGAGCTGCCTGGTCCCCCTACTCAGTAATTCTCTTACTCCTCCTTGCCAGCACACCCTGGGGAGCCTCCTCAGAGGGCAGGAAGTCCTTCCTGTTGTCTAATCATGGCTGTCCATCTCCTGTGGCTGGAAAGAAAACCTTGTCTTGGTGTCAAGGTCGTTTGTCCCAGTAAAGGGACATAGGCCAGTTCCTCAACTGAGCCTCCACCCCAGGCATCCCCTCATGGCACCCTGCAGCTCTGCTCTTTCCTCTGGCAGGACGGCCTCATCACTCTGTTCTGGGCACCAGCTAGGTTATTTCTGCAGCTGCCAAGCTCAGCAACCTCGTTCCCCGCTTGAAACGACCCTCTCATTCCCCATTCTGCTCACCTTTCAAGGCCTGCCTCAGCCCCACCTCCTCCAGGAGGCCCTCCCTGGTGCTCCAGGCCCCTGGTACCTGCCCTGCAGTTTTGTGCTGGTTCCCGCCTGCGTTCCCTCCCGGGAGGAACTGCAGCTCCGACAGGGGAGAGTGGAGGCTGGCTCAGTGCTGGTGCTTGTTAAAGCCTTGCTAATTAATCCCTTCTGGGAAGTTCCACCTTGAGTCTAACTGGAGTTTTCATGCTGTAATGCCAGCAATTTTCTGTGGGCCCTTGCAGTCCTCCAGAAGAGCAAGATTTGCCTAAATGCTCGGTGGTAGCCCCACGGTGCGGACGGCTCTCACCTGACGCCCGCCACTTCCCGCGGCCAGCCTGGCCTCCAGACCTTCCTCTTGGGCCCTGGGCACCCAGGGGCTGGTCGGGCTTGAGGACAGCGCTTGGAGCCCGTGGCCAGAGTCAGGCGTTGCTTGGCCTCTAGTGATTGGGAGTTCTTCTTGGTGGGGAGGAGGGGGTGTGGGGAGGCAGGGCTTCGGGGAGCCCCACCTTGTGGCCGGAACTGCTGGCCCTGGGGAGCTGGGAAACTCCCTTGTGGAGGAAGGTCCCTCCTGAGGCCCAGGAGCCAATGCCCCAGGCTCAGCCCGTTGCCAGCGGCCCCAGGTGGGGGCATCTCAAGCCGAACCAGAGGCTTTGCAGGTGGGGGAGACTGGCTATCTGGATGGGAACAGAGGACATGAGTAGCGGGGGTATCAGGCTGCGTTCAGCTTGAGAAGGCCGGCACGCCAAGAAGTGTCCTAAATCACAGAACATCTGGGTTTGGGGAGGGCTCCTCTCCGGTGCTGCTGCATCCAAGGAACACACCAGAAGGAGGGCTGGAGCCAAACAAGGGTAGCTGCAGGGCTCTGCTTGCCCAAGGGCTGCGCAGGTATGGGCAGGGCCCCTGCACTGGGTGTGCACTCTCGAGAGGGTCTCAGGGACTACCCAGGCCTGCTGCTGCCCAGCTTCCAGGACCAGAGAACCTTCTGGGGGTCACCCTGTCTGTGCCTTTGCCACTGCGAGGATGACCCCACCCCCTGAGTCCTTAGCTTCCTAGTCAGCAGCCTTCTCTCCAAGGTGAGCCATAAACCAATGGACCGAAAGTCCTTGCTTGCATCTAACCTCAGTGCCTCTTGCTTCACGGGCCTAGGGGGGCCTGGAATCTGAGCTCCCCACCAGTTTATCTGGATTCCAAGGAAGTGGGTCCAAGCCATCCAGGTCAGATCCCTCCCCCAGGCCCTCCTCCCAGACCTGGGCGTCTCTCAGACCCCTTATCTGCTGCCAGCTGGCTGGACAGAGGGACAAAGAGCTGGTTAATGCTTAACTGGAGAGCTGGTCCCACTGGGCCTGTGCCAGCAGGGCCGGGCGGCAGGACTTCCGGGAGACAGGCTCTGAGTGGTGCTTTGGCCCGTGTGCATGTGGCTTGTGCACACGTGTTCACACGTGCGCCCCATGCTGGTCAGCCACACGTGAGGGTCCCAGCATGTGGGCCAGGACTTCCCTTTGGGCACACCTTGTTGCCCCTGTACAGACCTGGGGCTGTTTCCTAGCCTGACCAGCCCAGGGTGAGAGGGGCTTTGGAAGAAGTGGCCAGTGCTGAAGGGCCAGGCACTGCCCAGCACGGTCTGGGGCAATAGCAGGAAGCCTGCGGGGGGGCACATGGCGATCGTGTGCCTCCCTTCAGGGGCCAGCACCCATCCCAGCTGCAGCCGAGTGCTACGTGTGCCTTGTGCAGCTCTGGCTGGCTGTGTAGGGTCTTTGTGACTCTTGTATTGAGGGGCGCCGGGCTGGCCAAACGGAGTTGAGGCTCCTGGGCAGGAAGGGGAAAACCAAACAGAGTTGGCCGCCCACAGGGCTCCTGGCGAGGCTCCTGGCTGGGGTGCTTCCTTTGAGATCGCCTGGGAATGTGTGAGGTCGGAGCGCACGGGGACCTGGCTCAGAGGAGCGGGCTGCTGGCACGGACAGAGACGTGCAGTCCACACGCGGCCTGCCCGCCTGGCCCTGGGGTCGACACTGACAGAGGGCCAGTCCTCTGGGGCTTGGGTGCTCCTCCAGGGTGCTCTTCACTGTGCGTTTGCCTGAGCGCACCCCAAAATTCTTGGTTCGGGTGTCTACGACCTCCTCATCCAGAGAGCCTGCACCCCATCACCTGATCATCAGGAAGCCTGCACCCCACTGTGTCCCACACTCTTGTGAACATGAGCCTCGTGGCACTGGCCCCGTCTCTAAGAATCTGTGCTTGTGTCTGGCTCATGCGAATTTCTGGGGGACGCGAACACCATTTCTCTGAGCGAGTATCTGGGTGACTAACACCCGATCCATCTGAGAACGGGGACACTTGCCCCATCATCTGTCTCCCTGTGCAGTTTGTAACCCACTCAGCAGGTAGCTGGTGCTCTGAGGCCTGGTGTTCCTGGGCACCAGGCCTCGGGGCCGTCTGCACCCACGGGCTCTGCGGCCTCTGGGCCCCGGGCCGGTGCTTCTTCTTCCTCAGTGACCTCAGCCTCCTGATCTCTGCCTGCGGGGCCCACTCATCTTGTCCCAGGGTCTCTGTTCACAGGGCCCCTTATTGTCAGAGCACCTGTCTTGAGGAGAGTACCTTCACCCAACCTGGGAACACCTGGGGGCCCCACCCGGAGCACCTGTGTACCTGAGCAGCCCTCGCCCACACAGGCAGCTCTGGGAAACTGGCTCCTGTTAGTCTGGAATGGGGACTCCCCCATCCATGGCCACTAGGGCACCTGCACCTCCTACACCTCACCAGCGGGCCCCTGGGCTCCCCCGCCCGGAGGCCGATGTCCCGGTGCAGCCGGCGGCCAGGCCTCGCGCCTGTGGTTTTGGGCACCCGCATCCTGCCATCTGGCTCAGCCTGTGTGAGCCCCATTCATGCTTGTCTCAGGTTCTCTGTGGGTTACTCACTCGTGTGTTGGGCCGCTGCCCGCCCCAGGTGTTGGGAACTCTGTCCTGGCTCCAAGGAGCTGAGCCCAAGCCCTAGCCATCCAATACTGGGGTGACTGCTCCCCTTA